TTGTTGGGAAGATTACAAAATACAATAAACATTAAGTCCTGAATTAATGGTGCTTTCACTGATGAAGAGGGGTTCTGACTTCCAAGTCGTGGCGTGGCGCTGTAGGATAAGCACTAGACCGTAAGGTTGGTGGTTTGAACTTACCAGCCACTCCTTGGAAACCCTATACAGGGTCACTATGAGTTGGAACCAACTCAATGGTACTTAACAACAACAATAAAGTCACACAGCTTGGGGGTGAGGTAGGGCCAGGACTCGATCTGGTCTTTTCATTCCATGTCTGTCCCCTGTTTACACTGTGCTTGCCCCATTGGTAGTTGGTTCGTGGTAGAAAGCCTGGGGTCTGGCTGCACAGCTCATACTTGCAGGAGGTGACTAGGTGCTTGGGCTGATTCTGGGTCATAAGGATTGAGTGAGTTATTGAAAACCAGGGTAGGCCAGGGCCTTAAGACTCATCTATTTGAACCTATTCGTTTTACTCAAGGCACCCCAGATAAGTAGTGGTATGGCACTGAAGGATAAACACGGACTGCTAACCTTGTGGCCGACAGTTCAAACTTACCAGTTGTTCCTTGGAAATCCTATGCAGGGTCGCAGTGAGTTAGAAGTGAGTCAATGACACTTAATAACAACAACAAAATCAGTAGGATTCAAACCCAGGCCTTGAGAGTCCCAGTTTTCTATGTTGTGGTTGGGTGCTGCCAAATCAGTTCTGACTCGTAGTAACCCTGGATAGAGCTCTTGAGGCTATAAATCTTTATGGGAGCAGAAAGCCTCATCTTTCTCCTGTGGCTTGACTGGTAAATTCAAATTACTGAACCAGCTCATAATATCTTCTTAATTTAGGGAGAGAGAGTCCTGAGTTATAGCAGTATGGGAAACCTAGAATCCTGTTCCCTTAAAGCTTGAGATGACACAAATTTGTGCTTTGCTGGTGGTGGCGCTGTGCCGTGGAGTTGGTTCTGATTCATACCACCCTGCATAGAGGGTTTCTGAGGCTGTAAATCTTTACTGGAGCAGAAAGCCTCATCTTTCTCCTGTAGAACGGCTGGTAGTTTCGAACTGCTGACCTTGAGGTTAGCAGCCTGGCTCATAACCACTACGCTACCAGAGCTCCTTTGTGCTTGATGTGTTTGACTACTAACCTAAAAGCTGGCCTTTCAAACCCACTCAGCAGCATGGCAGAATGGTCTGGTCATCTGCTCCTGCCAACATGATATAGCTAAGACTCTTATGGAGCACTCTGACACATGGGGACACCATGAATTGGAATGGATTCCACAGTAGCGGGTTTGATTTTTACTAAGCATGGAGGACTTGGTTTCATTCCCCTCTGACTTCACCCAGGTGCCTACCTTGGGACTGGGCACTTTCAGTAATCGTTTGTGCAACTGAATCAAGAGACACCTTGTGCTGGAAGAGTCTTCCTTCCTTGCCTTCAGCACTCTACCCCTCACTCTCATCAAAGCCACCTTTTCCTCAGATATTGACGAATGCAGCTACTCCAGTTACCTCTGCCAGTATCGCTGTGTGAACGAGCCAGGCCGCTTCTCCTGCCACTGCCCCCAAGGCTACCAGCTGTTAGCCACACGCCTCTGCCAAGGTACAGGTTGCCTGGCGGGTTGGGTAGGGTGAAGTGAGGGGCTGGTGGACTGACGCCCTGGTTCCAGCCCTCCTTTCCTGGCACAGACATTGATGAATGTGAGTCGGGTGAGCAACAGTGCTCTGAGACCCAGACCTGCGTCAACTACCACGGGGGCTACCGCTGCGTGGACACCAACCGCTGTGTGGAGCCCTACGTTCAGGTGTCAGACAAGTGAGTCAACGCGATGCTGAGCTCTGGAAGAAACTACAACTCCCAGTGGATTCCGAGGCTGACTGGTGTCTATCCGGGCTGGCGGGTACTCCTGAGGGCTGATAGGAGTTGTAGTCTCTTGTGACTAAAGCCTGCGTACTGTTATAGCAGGTGCGGGAGATCAATGTTATTTAGAGCCGCCAAATTGGTTCCGACTCATTGGGACCCTGTATAGGGTTTCTGAGGCTTTACATCTTTGCCGAGCATAAAGTCTCATCTTTCTCTCATAGAGAGAGTGGGCGCCAGCAGCGGACCTTGTGGTTCACAGTCCGTTGCTTAGCATAAGGAGCTGCCATGCACCCTGGGAGGATCCATAGTGTTCACCTTTTGAGGGTAGACAAGACTTGGCAGATGGTCTAGGACCTCATTCATGTCCCCCATCTTGGCGTCTCCAGCCGCTGCCTCTGTCCGGCCTCGAACGCCCTATGCCGGGAGCAGCCTTCGTCTATCGTGCACCGATACATGAGCATCACTTCGGAGCGGAGCGTTCCCGCCGATGTGTTCCAGATCCAGGCGACATCTGTTTACCCCGGTGCCTACAATGCCTTTCAGATCCGTGCCGGTAACTCGCAGGGGGACTTCTATATTCGGGTAAGACCTTTGTCACCCTCACTCTTCAAATCAAAGTGCAAACCCATCACTTAATTCCTAAAACCAACCCCCACCCACTGAATCCGTTCTGATTCAAAGTGACCGCCTTATCTTTCTCCCATGTAGCAGCTGTTGAACTTGAACAGCCAGTCTTGTCATTGCAGTGGTGATGGTGGTATGCCTAGGAGTCAGTTCAGACTCATAGTGACCCTGTACAGGGTTTCTGAGGCTGTAAATCTATGGGAGCAGAAAGCCTCATCTTTCTCCCACAGAACAGCTGGTAATTTCGAACTGCTGACCTTGAGGTTAGCAGCCCAATTAGTAACCACTACGTTACCAGAGCTCCATAGTCTTGAGATTAGCAACTCAAAAACATTTAAGTCACCAGGGCTCCAGTTAATTCCAAGAAGGGAGATTCTGTTATACAGCTAAGCCCCACCCTTGGGGCAGGACTTCTGTTTTCCCCGTTGTCTAGACTGCCTCACACCTTTGCCCTGCAGAACGAAAACAAAATAGTGCCTAGAATTGTGTGGGTCTATTTACTTGGCTGTCTCCCCACTGGGCTGAGAGTTCCTTGAATGCCCAATCTGGTTTGATTTGTGTCTATAGGTTTGCACTATAGATGTGGGTAGGAAGATGGTTGTTGTCAAATGCCTTGCTTCAGAGGAGCAGCTGGTGTGTTGAGCTGCCGACCTTGTGGTTAGCAGTCCATTGCGCATCTACAGCGCCACACCAGGAGTTCATTAGAAAGGTAGTTGCTGTTAAGTGCCCTTGAGTTGGTTTCTACTCAATTTGTTGTTGTTGTTAAGTGCCGTCGAGTTGGTTCCGACCCATAGCGACCCTGTACAGGGTTTCCGAGGCTGTAAATACTTACGGGAGCAGAAAGCCTCATCTTTGATTGTTAAAACTCAGAACAGGTTCTAAGGAGGACCCTGGAGTCAAAGTTTTGTGTTCCTTCTCTTGGTTACCCTAGCTGGCCTCAGTTCCTTCTCTCACATGAGTAGCATGGGAGGCCTTCCAAGAGTTAAAGAAAGGTGGGCAGGTGGTTGGGAGCCAGCCTCTACTGGTAGAGCTGTGAGGGGGAGTGGACCCAGGTGTGACTCAGTGGGAGCAGAAGCGTGTCAGGCTCTCAAACCCAGGGGCATCCTGCTGTAATCAGCTCAAGCATGGGTTTGTCTATCGGTGCTTACTTCTTTTTGAAATGGAGTGTTCTGAGGGGGCATCTACCTGCTCCAGGTCACCAGAGACCCCACCGCTCCCAAATCTCACATCTACCTAACTGGGTAACCCTGGGTAGATGACCATCTGGCAGTGGTAGAAGAGTAGTGGCGAGCAAGGTGGGGAGACTTCTGAGGGCAGGACCCTGGGTGCAGAAGGGGAGATTAAGGAACTGGGTAGACCCTAGACAGGTGTCACAGCCTGGCCGGGGCCTCACCACCTCCTGGCCAGCTGACATGGGTGCAAGCCATGGGAGTCAGGTGATGCTGGGTCAGGGTCCTGGCACACAGGTTGATTCATCTATGTGTCTCCCCACCCACTGTGCCCCCCTGCAGCAAATCAACAATGTCAGCGCCATGCTGGTCCTGGCCCGGCCTATAACGGGCCCCCGGGAGTACGTGCTGGACCTGGAGATGGTCACCATGAACTCCCTCATGAGCTACCGGGCCAGCTCTGTACTGAGACTCACTGTCTTCGTGGGAGCCTACACCTTCTGAGGAGGCGGGGGACCCTCAGGGAGTGGAGGGCTCAGGGAGGACTGTGTTCTGCTAAAAAGGAAGACAATGTTGCAAAGGGCAGAGAGAGATAGGCAATAAAAGGAGAAAGAAGTCCTCGGGGCTGAGGTGGGTGGGTAACCCTGTAGTGACCCCAGATTGTGGGAGGAAGGCAGGGCCAAGTCTACCTTAAGGGGGGCTGTGTGCTCAGGCTGAGGGGGCCCCAATGTCAGGACCTGAGAACCCATCCCTAAGGCTGGGATTGGTCTGTGTACCAGGGTCAGAATCGCCCTGGAGGGAGGAGGTAATGAGGGCTCAGCCCAGAGGCTGGGGCTTGGCTGATTTGCTGGGACACCCCTGCTCTGGGTAGTAACAGAGGCCCTGAGTTCCAGTCCTGGTTTGGCCTCAAACTATGAATTTAGACAAGCCCTAGTTGCTCCCTGTGCCTGCATCTTCCCATCCATAAAATGAGGCGATTGGACTGTTAGTGGTTTTCAGACTTTTCTTTTCCAAGCTATGAAACTTACCCGAGGAAAGCTCATTCAGTCAGGACCCTTGGCTAACATGGACTTGACTCAGAGATGTAGTGCCCACTGCTTCCACCTTCTTGGCATCTCAACATGGAGCTCCAGAGTCCCAAGGAACTCAGTCTAAAACCAGACCAGATGGTCTCCTCAAATTGGGGATTTTACAAGGCTGCTGGGGCCTGGCGCTTCTCCTTTGATACAAGTAAAGTTGCAAACACTTCAGTTTTTATTGTAGCTCAAAAGGTTCCTGTTAAAAGGCTGGCTAGCAGCTGGGTGTGGGGAAGCCAGGGGCAGGGGTCCATCCCGTGGCACGGCTCAGGTCAGGGGATCACGGCTGCAGTAGAGCTGGGACAAGGTCCTGCTCAGCACGGGCCCCAGTTTCCTGCAGGAAGAGAGGCAGGTGGGGTCAGTCCTGTGCTTCAAGCGGCTCCAGTCCCGTCATTCCCTCCAAGTCCATCCCCATCTGACCTCTGCAGACGGCCACTCTTGACGGTGCTAAGCAGCAACTCCTGTTCCTTACTAGTGGCGCAGGCGTCATAGGCGGCCAGGAGGCTGCGGGTGGGTAGATGTTGGCATTTCTAAGACATGCCATGGCTGGCTGCTGGTCTCCTTGGGGCCCAGCTCTGAGCCAGTCTCAAGGATGAGGATGTAGGAAGGGGTGCACCTAGGTTTGAGGGGTAAGAAGCCTACCCCACTTCCTAAGCCTGGCACTTAGGGCCTTGCCCCATCTTCCTGCAGGTACACAGGGACAGGACCAGCAAAGGGTCCAAAGCTCCCTGCACAAGATGCTCCCAAGTGTGGGCATTCTTGACCCAGCAAAATGGGCCATCTTCCTGGCCCGATTGCTCCGCCCTTCCTTCAGGGAGCTTTGTCTGCTCCTTCAGACAGAAGGTCTTCCTCCTAACCTCTGGCCTCCCCCAGTGTCTAGACCTGGGGCTAGCTCTGGCTGCTTTTGTCTCTCCCCTGCGCCCACCTCTGTGAGTTCCCTAGCATTCAGCTAGGTCATTTACTTCTGCAGTTCACAAAGCGGAGCCCCCACAAAGCACAGGCTGAGTTGAATTCCTTGCTGGGGGGCCTACCTGGCAGGAGTGCTGTACCGATCTACCAGGGCTGCCGCCTTCTCCCCACTCACTCCACGTACTTGCATCAGCTGACGTGCAAACACCTCCCGGACAGACTGGGCCTGGCATAGGGGGTTGGGAGGACAGGGTCAGGCCTGGTTTGAGGCCAGCCACGTCCGGAGGAAGTGGCCAAAAGCAGTACCTTGTTCTTCATGGCTCCCGCATTGAAGTCACTGAAGGTGAGGAGGGAGCAGACAGGGTTTGGGGAGGGCCTGGTTCCTGGTTCAGGGTCTCTTGGGGTTCCCCCTGGGCGGCTGTGTAGGGTGTGGCCCTGAGGGAAAAGGGGACTAAAGATCAGGCCGAAGCTCCCGGCAGGTGGGGGTGGGACGCAGACCCCCAGCCAGTCATTTCCTGATCTAGGCCTCCGAGGGCCAGCTTGAAAAATGAGATGCTCACTCACCCCATGTCTCTCAGGAAATGGAGGGCCCAGGTAAGGGGCCAGGACCGGGAAAATCCATCTGCTCACCTGATAGAGTCTCTCCAGACCCCTTGTCAACAGGGCCAAGTAGGCGGCTGACTCCTTGATATCTGCTGTGCGCTTCACAAAGAAACCATCAATGACCTGGAAAGAGGGTCTCTAAGAATCAGGGGAATCCCGGGCAAAGCCACCAACCTTGGGCCCCCTACCAACCTAGTCCTGCCCTCTGGCTCACCTGAGTGTTGGTCACAGCCTGCAGCAGGGTACTCTCAGGAAGGCTGAGGTTGTGGATGGAGCCATGCTCTTCCACCAGGTACACCCGGTGCCCCAGACCACAGCGCTTCAGTCGGAACTGGGGAGGTGGGCAGAGGAGGTAGGGAGGGGCATTCAATCGTCATGTGACTGGTTCCCCCAGTTGTCCTTCTGCCTTCCCTCGGTCCTGTCCACTCTGACTGTGGGCCAGTTCTGGCCCACTGTTGTTCTTATCCTGGAGGTCAGAGCCTCATTTATCCAAGACTGCACGGCCTGGCTACCCAAGGGTCTGTACTATGCCCTTTTGCCTGGCACTAGCACCTTGCACACACTGGGGGCCAGGATGATTTGGTCCCAGGGCTGCCCTAGATTAGACCTCCTGGGGATGTGGCCAGCCATGGCTCTACTTCAGGCAGGCTACTCAGAAGTGCCCCCAGCATCCTTGGGCCTGGGAGGGTTCCTGGGGGCAGTGAACAAACCTTTTGCTCTCGGAAGCGGCCGTCGATGATACTGCTACATAAATCGTCCAGCCGCTTGCGCTCCACGATGTGGTCCAGCACGAGCTCACCAGGCCTTGCTACCAAAGGGGCCATGGGGGTGTGGTTGGCTGAAGTCTCCACTCACCGTGCCTATCTCTGACACCGCCCGCCTGAGGTCCCTTACCGGGGTCACTGGGCCTGGTCTCCTGTGCTACCCACACGAAGTCCCCAACGTGCAGCCTGCGGACCATGTGGCTTACGTGTAGCCGCTTAAGTTCTTGGAGCAGCTCTGGCCTGTGCCCAGCCCTGGAGTTGCAAGGCAGGGGCCTAGGTCAGGGCAGGCCAGTAGCCCCCCAACAGCATATTGTCTTTTGCTTCTCCTCCTCCCCCCACTTTGCTCACCCTGTAGTCTCGCCGACATCCACACACAATACCACCCTGTACTCTCCAGGCCCCAGCTCCAGTGGGGGCGGCTGGATGCCCCCTTCGCTGGTGCCACTGTGGAAAGGAGGAGTTGGTGGGTGTCAGGCAAAAAGTCCCAGTACCAAAGCAACCCCTTTCTCCTCCCGCTGCCAGGAGATGGAGCAGCCAGAATTTAGCTGTAAGAATGGGGGTGAGAGTAGGGTGCTGGCCTCATGTCAAGAAGTCCTAGTGTTTCCCAGCCCCCCTCCTACTCACAGCTTGGCTGAAGCTGCTCCCGGCTCTTCTGACTCCTCCCCAGGGGGCTCCTCTGGCCCAGTGCCCACACTGGATGAGCTCAGGTCCTCGGACTCAGCCAGTTTCTGGGCTAGCTCCAGACCCTCCGACGTCAGTGAATACCTTGGGAGGCAGGGAAAGATGCATATAGTTCTCCATTTATTCCTCAACCCAGGCTGGCCACACCACCCTCTTGACAACCTTGCACAAGCCCAACCCACACCCCTCCCTGCCCCTCAACACACACATTCTTGCTCGCTCAGGTCTGTAGTGAGTCCTTCCCAAACTTGTCTCCTTCCCTCTCCCTGTATCATTCCTTTGGAATCCTAAGGCTTATCAGATGCCACTTCTTCAGCAAGGTCTTTCTGTTCCCCCAATAATCTGGGATCCCCCTTCTCCCTCCCAGGGCCTGCCCTTCCCCTCAGACCCTCCTGGTACCCTGACAGTATGGGCTTAAGACTTGGGCCTTGTTGAGTGACCATAAGCCCCACAAAGTATATCAGGTTTGAATACCATGTTCCCCTGGCCCATGGCCCCTGCAGTTGGCCGCACCTGGCTGGCTGCTGTGTTCTGAGGACAAGGTTCCGGTGGAGGAGGGCTCGGAGGACTGGCCAAGGTCGAGTGCTCCCAGGGGCCACCTGTAGACAGGAAGCAGGTCCTAGGGTGCCAAGGGTTCTACCAAGCATGCATACTCCCTTCTCCTTAGGCCCCACACCACTGCCGGTGCCTGAGGCTTTAGGGGGCTGATGCACAGCTACTTAGCACCCCCTTCTCAAACTCAGTGTTCACCTTGGGAGCCTTCTGGGCACATCTCTGTAGCAGTTGTTCCTTGGTTAGGAAGTTGCAGCCACTAGGATTCTGAAATCAAGGTAGACAATGACAAGAGTGGCTTCAATGCCTGGGTTCCACCTAGTGGCTAGATGATCGTCACAAAACTGTCCTGGAGTGCTCACCTGGTGCTCCCGGTACAACAGCAAAAGCACAGCCCGGGCACCTGAGTGCCGGGCTGGCCAGTAGCCTCGAGGACCCCTTGGTTTGGACTGAGCTGGAACCTGAAAGGTACAGACAGGCTGTGAACACAAACATCAGGCGGTCATTGTGGCTGACTTCCTGGCAGGGCCAGGATACCTGAGGTTTAAGGTCTGTGTCAGCAGCCCCAGGGCAAATCGCTTCAGCTGCCAGTTGGTGGGAAGGAACTGGGTTGAGACAATGGGCTACTGTGGGGTGGGAGAAGTGCCTGGCCCAGCCTCAGTTCTCCAGAACCCACCACCCACTGCTAGACCTCCCCTGGACTACAAAACAACCCCACAACTCACTAGGATGGGCTCCCTAAGTAGCTGAAGATGGCACTCTCTGAACACTATTTTCACCTAGATGAGAATACCGAGTCTCCAGAAAACATTTGTTTGCGACCACTGATCACTGATGTCGTTATTTGGACCCCAGGCCTGTTTAATTTCAAACTTTCCGCAAAACCATTCACATCCCCAGAGAAAATTCAACCTCTCCCACCCGAGGCAGAACATTTTACTTCCGGCACTCCCACCTCCTCTGCCACGCCCTCTTGTTCTGTGCTCACGGGCTTGGGAAGGCTTTGAGCTTCCATAAGTGACCCTACTGGGGCTGAACTCTTTTCTCCAGATGGCGACACCGGGGCAAGGTCACCTGCGGAGACAGAAGGGATTCACCCCTGGAACTCATCGAATTTGGGAAGCGGGAAGGGGTTAGGGTACAACGGGAAAGCTCAGGGAGAGTCAGCCACTTGCTCAAATTCAAACAACGTGGACATGTGTAGGGTGCTGGACGCCAAGATATCCGAGATGCACTTAGTGGGGAAGAAGAAGACCGACCGTCTCCTCCGGCACTCACTGTCCGAGGCTCGGTGCCGCTGCAGCCGCTCGTCCAACATCCGGCAGAGCCCGTCTCCGAAGTGCTGGAGGATCTTGGCTTCCTTCCCGCTGCGCAGGGGTAGCGGGTACCGCCGGAGCGAGCGCAGCGCCTGGGGCAGGGATTACGGTCAGTCAGGCCATGGGGTCCACTTCGGCTAGTGGACCATCAGCCCCGCCGGGACCTCACCTTTTGAAACACGAAACGCGTGCGGCGCCCCCTGCTGGTCGCCTCGTCCCGCCACTCGGTCAGCCAGCGTATGAAGAGTGGGTTGGGGCAAACCGGCAGCGGGCGCTTCCGGCCCAGGCGGACGGGCGCCGCCATGAGCCCCGGAGCCGGTCCTCGGGCGCCTCACGCCGGCGGGACCCCGACAACGCCAGCTCGGGAGTTGGGATTCTGACACCTAGCCTTGAGGGGGCGGGGTCTCCCCGGTCACGAGTCCCTACGCGGGCACTCACTAGGGGATCCACTCCCTTTTCCCCCCACCCCCCGCCTCCCCGCCCCTGCACTATGCTAAGTGGCTGGTTCCGAACTTCTTCTCTACAGCCTACTGCCCACAACCACTCTTTGAGCGCGCCCCAACCGAGCCCCTGGAGCGCAGATCCCGCCCTTTCCTCCCACCCCAAATTCGAGAGCGGGGGCTCCTGTGCTTGCTGTCAAGAGGATGGCGGACAGCGCCCCCTTTGGTTGGGCGGGTAGGTCGAAGACGTGCTTAATGGAGAAATCTGAGCTAGGCTTATCTAAAGCTAATTTCTGTTTTACTCTTGCAGAGACGACTAAAAAAGGAGACTGGGCTTGAAAATGAGCTAGGAGAGAGAAAAAAACGCAGGTGTATTTGCGGGAGCAGGTATATTCGCAAGAGGGACATCTAGGAAGGAGTTCAGGGCATGAGAACACCAAGTAAAGGCAGGAGTCCACACATCTTCGGAGTAAATGGTGAACATGTGTGGGGTAATGACAATGCCAGCGACAGGTAACACTGATGCTAGGAGGACGCGGAGGTCCGAAAACTGGGGGCAGCCTGAGGGCGGGGGGGGGGGGCATGTGGCTGGATCCGGACAAAGGTGGAAGGAGCGAATGCTACAGCATTTCTATGGTCATTGAGAGGTGGGGAACCCACAGAGGGATTGACTGAAGATAGGAATTCTGCAATGGGACCCAGGTTGAAGGGCATATACAGAGGGTCTCGCTAGAGGTTTGGAGCCGCACTTAAGCCTTCAGCTGTACAGCCGGAAATCGCGAATTGCAGCTCTCAGGTTTGCAACGGAGCTCCAGGCCCACCCTCCAGACTCCGCCCCGCTCGCAATTCAGCATGCCCCCCCAGCCGGCTCTGGCCTCCCACCCGACGCGGCCTTATAAGGAGTCTGGAGCCGGTGTTCGGGCTGGCCCCACCCCCTTCAGTCTCATGTCCTAATAAGGACATGTAGGGCATCCTGCTGCTGGGGGCGGGAGGGAGGGCGTCTCCAAGGTAACTACGAAGCCCCCTCCCCCTCCGTGTTTTTCTTGTAAACTCCGGGGTCGAAAAGGGTGGAGCCAAGCGCCCCTCCGACTGGGACGCAGGCGGTAGTCGGGGTCCAAGCTGCGGCCTCCACCTGGGGCTCCAGGGTATTCGACTGATGGGCGTTGCTGCGGATGTTCTCGACTACAACCCCCAACATGCTCTGCGATGTGCCCCACACCCGGACTACTTTCCTGGGTTCTTGAAGACTGGATTGCTGGCTTCTACTTACACTGTGTATTCTGCCTATGGGTTAAAGCCCATCAGTTTCATTTGTGGGTATGCCATTGATTTCTTTGAGACCACAGTCTTCTCTTGTAGAGCCTGAAGCTATTATGTTCATCGTTCTGGGTCAACGATGTTTTCCCGGAGTCCCCACCCCAAACAGTTCCTTTTTATTTAGGCTTCTGCTCCCAAAGAGCTTGTGTCTAAAATTTGAGGCTATTAATCATCTACCTTACTATCAACCTAAACAAGGTTCAATTCTGATTTAGTATCTTATTTCCTCACTGCCTTGTAAAAGACATAGAGGAAATCCTTGTTTAAATGTACAAACCCCTGCCCTCTCACTTAAGACTTGTGAATGTTTGCCAAACATCTTTAAACAAGGACAAGGCTCTCCTTTTCAAAGTACCCACCCCCCCTTTAGCCGCTCCTGTCTTTTTCGTCTTCCTATTTTTATTGTAATTAAAATTGCATATGGCCTCATTTTTTATTCCTGGTGTGACGCTGTAGGGTCAGCACTGGACTGAGAAAACCAGAAGGTGGTCAGTTCAAAACCACCAGCTGCTCCTCGGAAACACTCCGGTCGCTATGAGTGGGAATCGACTCGACCACACTTAACGGCCTTTTTTGATGAGGCAAGAATGGCTTTGCACACGGTTTATTGGTTTGAATGCGCCTTTTCATTGTGATTCCTTGTTTTAGGAGTGCTTTCCAGGACAGTTGTCTCAATTCAGAAAAGGCAAATCCTAACCCCACTCAAAAATTTCAGACTTGAGGATCCAGAAAGTGCTAAGATACGTATTAGGAAAACCGATTACTCAACGGTGAAAGGCCACGAAATCGGGGTCCAATTTTGTGTCATCTTTAAGGCACACAGGGCCTATTTTTCAGCTCGGAGCGTTTCCTGGGACGCTCCACCAATCGGCGCGCTCTCCGTGCCCTTCGTCCCGGCGTCCTCGGCTGCCTTGGACAACATTTCCCGGAATGCAATGCAGAGCTGGGAGGTCGGCCCACAAAGTCTCAATTACCCTGTGAGCCCCAAGACAGTGCAGAACACTCGGACTTCATTTCCCGTCGGCCCTGAGGGAGAGCGCCGGAAGCCCGCCCCGCCCCTCATTGTGCGGCTCATACTAAACGGAAGGGGCCGGGAGAGGCCGCATTCAGTCGGATCCCGGCAGCAGCTGCAGCGGCTCTCCTCTCCTCTGGCTCTGTTTGCCTTACTCCTTTCGCTTCCGGAAACATGGTGAGCAGCAGGCTACGGCGTCCGAAGGAAGTTGGCTACGGGTCGGTCGTTCGCGCCCACGGGAGGGGACGGAGGAGCGACGTCGGCACCCCCTCCCCCAGCGCTGCGGGCGGGACGAGGGTCTCGCGCTGAGGGGCGGGCGGCTCCGGGACGCGCGTGCGCGCCCGCGGGCTCCAAAGAGGGCCGGCTCGGACGTCGCTCGCGCGCCCCCTGGCCTCCCTTCCCCCACCTCGCTGGTGAGCCCGCGCGGACACCGCCGTGGGGGGAGGGGTCCAAGACGCGCGCGCCCGCTCCTCGCAGAGTAGCTGGCTGCGACGGTGCGGGGGGGGGGGTGGGGAGCGCGCGCCCAGCGGGAGCACGCGGCGGCCAACCCCGGACGGCGGACAGCGAGGAAAAAGCGCGCAAGCGGTCTTGGCGCGCGCGCCCCACCCAAGAGCTGTTCCTGCCTCCGCGCCATCCTCCCTCGGCGGCAGGCGGGCCTAGCTAGTGAGCAGGTGGCAAGAGATGCCTGCGCCCGGGAGGAGCCAGTGGGATGCTGGGGCGCCGGGGTCTGGATGGGACCGCGGGGTCCTAGGAGTGGCATTTGGCACCGCGCCGCACAGAACGGACACTGTTGATGTCACGGTCCAGCTCCGGGTTGAGAGCGTCTACAAAGCAAGCCGGGCCCTTGGTTCTGGGCCTACGTTGGAACTGCGCTGCCGGCGCGTGCGCACACGTTCAGGCCCCGGCTGCGGGGGCCGAGACGCTGGGCTAGTGGGGCCTTCGGCCTTCCCGGATGGGACTGAGGGTGGAGCCGAGTTTAGGGAAGTGACCCAGGCGGGCACAGCCCGGAAACCACCCCGCCCCCTGCATTGGGCTCGAAGACTAGAAGATCTTAAAGTCCATGAGTTGTGTAATTGTCCAGGCTCCCTGCAGGGGACAGTCCTTAGATGCCCAACAGTAAAAATGACACCCTACCTAGACTTGAGGCCCTGGAGGTGTTGCTGCCTCTAGGGTGAGGGTTTGTCTCTAGAGGAGGGGGCCAAGCCGACTCTTTGCCCCGCCCACTCCGGAAGGGACCGAATCACGTGGCGGGCTTCCTCTGCAGTTCCGGGGGTGGAGGGGTGCAGGTTACCATGGGCAGCTCCCTCCTGGCTAGATTGTCCCCAACAGGACACAGGGTTGAAGTTTAAATAGCTCTGGATACCGGAGTTTGGCCTTAACATCTGTCGGCAACCTTTGAGGTCCTGCACCATTTCCGGAGAAAGGGTGTTGTCGGGCTGGGCTTTATTGCAGTTTGGATCTTTGCTTTTGGGTCGAGGAGACCTTAGAAGAGGACCGTTTGTGAAATAACTGCATTGAACGTTTCTTAGGGACTTTCTAGGAATGTAGGTGCCCTTTCTAGCTTTGTGTAGCATCCGGCTTTCCTGTGTTCCGAATTGAAGATCATGACTTGGTCGTTAGGAAGTTCAAAGTCAACATTTTTAGCCAGATGTTGAGGTTGAGTACTGTGGGTAGAAAATTAGTAGCCTCTGGATTCTCATTCTGAATTCACATCTAACCCAAGGTTCAGATTCTCACGGGTCTTCAGTTTCCTATCTTGAGATGGGATGTTGAATCAGGTGACCAGAGGTCTCTTGTATGGCTGCCATTCTGGGCTTGTGTCTTATCTGGTCCTTTGGTAGGGACTTGAGCTTCCACTCCTTTTGAGAAGGGGCCTATGGAACCCTGTTCCTCATGAGGTGTCTGTCTGTGGCTCATCTCCCAGGCCTCTGGTGTGGCTGTCTCTGATGGTGTCATCAAGGTGTTCAATGACATGAAGGTGCGCAAATCATCAACGCCAGAGGAGGTGAAGAAGCGCAAGAAGGCAGTGCTCTTCTGCTTGAGTGAAGATAAGAAGAACATCATCCTAGAGGAGGGCAAGGAGATCCTGGTGGGTGACGTGGGCCAGACTGTCGATGACCCCTATGCCACCTTTGTCAAGATGCTGCCAGACAAGGACTGCCGCTATGCCCTCTATGATGCAACTTATGAGACCAAGGAGAGCAAGAAGGAGGATCTGGTTTTTATCTTCTGGTGAGTTCCTTGTACAGGCACTTTTTCCTGTTTTCTGCACTAGCTGCCCTGTCTCATAATGGAATCTCCATGGTGCCCAGTATAACCCACTAGTGTGTTTGGGGCAGGCTTTCAGTTATCCCCACGTAACTTATTGTTAACGAAGAATGCTAAAATTTGGATACTACAGACCACCCTAAAGGTGTCTTTTTACTTCTGTTACCTGAGGGGCAGTTACTAGTCACCGTAGAGAGATTTTAATTACTCTGCTCTTTTTCCTTCTAGGGCCCCCGAGTCTGCACCCCTTAAGAGCAAAATGATCTATGCTAGCTCCAAGGATGCCATCAAAAAGAAGCTGACAGGTAAGGGCCGGCAGGGGTGGGGGGCGGAGGGCCTTGTCTACTTGCTGAAAGAGAACCTTGTTCCTATCTGTCCAAGTGCTCTGATTGGCTTCTACCCAGCCTCACATACCCCCCTTTTCCCATGCTTCCTGCTCACAGCCACCACCACCCCTTTCTTTCCCACAGGGATCAAGCATGAATTACAAGCAAACTGCTACGAGGAGGTCAAGGACCGCTGTACCCTGGCCGAGAAACTCGGGGGCAGCGCTGTTATCTCCCTGGAGGGCAAGCCCTTGTGAGCCCCCTCCAGCCCCCTGCCTGGAGCATCTGGCAGCCCCAGACCTGCCTGTCGGGGGCTGCAGGCTGCCCCCTTCCTGCCAGACCGGAGAGGCTGGGGGGATCCCAGCAGGGGGAGGGCAATCCCTTCACCCCAGTTGCCAAACAACCCCCACCCACTGGACCTTCCTCCTCCTCCCTCCACCCCTGAAGGTTCTGGCCTTCCCAAACTGCTTTTGATCTTCTGATTCCTTTTGGGTTGAAAACAGACCAAGTCCCCCCCAGGCACCTCAGTTTGGGAGGGGCCTATATTTTTTTTTAACAATACCACCCCACCCCACCCCATTCCAGGCTGCCAACTTCTAACTGCATAGTGTCTGTGCTTGTCTGTTTAGTTCTGTGTATAAATGGAATGTTGTGGAGAAGACCCTTCCCTGCACCGGCTGGTTCCCCTTCCCTTTTCCCCTGGTCCAGCCACTTGTTTGGAGATACGGGCCAGTAAGGAACCTTCGATTAAAAAAAAAAACAAAAGAAAAAAAGATACCAATAACAAAGTTCGCTAATGGGGTGTTTGTTGCAGGGCTGGGCCCCTGGGTGGTGGACGAAAAGAACAATCAGCATGCTCTCTACCCTTGAAACCCCCCGCCAGCCCCACACATCCTGATGGAGCCCCTCAGCACCTGGTCGAACCTCCCCAAGATCACCACTTCTAGCCTTTTAAGAGGGTGGCAGCACCAAGGTGTGAAGTGATCTTACCCCTGAACCAGACGGCTGCCCCCTAAAGTGGGTGGGCACTGAAGCCTATCGGCTGTGAGATTTGTTGCGTGTCCCAGATTGTGTGATGACCTGTGTCATCTCCGGGTTCTGATTGGTCTGCCTTCTGCCCTCTGGATGACTGAATCAAATTTATGAGGGCAGAAGACCATGTCCAATGGCTGTTGTGAGTCAGAGGCCAATTAGTGCTTTTGGCCTTGCAGGTGTGGCTACAACCCATTCAGGGTGGGGCCAGCCAGGTAGAACCTAGGACTTCAGACCCAAATGTCTTGGGCCCCACCTCCCTGTGTTTAACCAAGAGGGTGTTGGCTGGGCCCTGAGCTTTTGCCAGCATGGCTAGGGGTTTTCACCTGCCCAGCAGGCAAAGGTATGGCAGAAGTCTGACCCTAGGGTTGAGGTCATTCCTCCTCCCACAGCCAACTAAACATAAGTTTGAGCTCCTTGGAACATAATCACTGTAGGAGGGAGCGGGGAAGGGGTTGTTCATTTGCTGGTTAGAACAACAGCATTAGTGATCAGTTCTCCATGTGTATTCCTCTAAGCTCAGAGGGAATGGGAACAAACCTTGAAGGCTGCCCCCTGGGGTTCCAAGTCTTTGCTCCAGCCCCATCCTGTGAAGAAACTGATAAGGATACCACAGGGTTCCCCACTTGGCTCCAACATCTGTTTTTACTGAGCTGGTAGAGAGGACTGAGTGTGGGAAGGTTGGAGTCCAGCAGGCCTCATGCTACAAACCCAGGCTCTTTATTTGTGTGCTTCCTCCAGTTTTGCAGGTGGGTGGAGGCTGTCTTCAGCTCCCTGGGGAGGGGAAGTCGGGGTCTTTGAAGCGACCCATTTGGGGTTCTGCTTACCTGGGGCTAAGAACAGTGATGCTGCCCACTGCCAGACCAGCCTGGGGGTGAGGGGATTGGGGAAGGAGTATTTTCTTGGGGGTGCTAGGGCTGGACTGGGCTGGGCTCTGGTTGCTCTAAAGCTCCCCCTTGAGGGCGACGAGGGTGTTCTGGAGCAGTAGAGTGCTGGCCTGCAGGGGAGAAGAGGACCTTGAAGCTCCCCACCCACCCTCACCCTACTCCATAAATTGCAGGGGTACACTGGGCAGAGGAGCCTCCCTGAAGTTCAGGAAACTCAATGCCACACTACTGCCATTTATTGAGAAATTAGCACCAATGATTAAGGGAAGAGCAGAAACCTGGCCAAAGATGGGAAAACAGCCCTGAACCTAAGCATGGGCTGCCAGGCCCTGTCCCCCCAACCCCCACCCCAAACACGTAAACAGACTTGGCAAGCAGAGCTAACACTGGCTAAGGCAGTGGAGAGGCTGGAGGCTCACCTTGGCGTGTTTGAGCTCCAGTTCGGCCAACTCAATGAGGTTCTTCCGGAAAGAGGAGACCCGGCGGGACTTGAAGTCCATAAGCTCTGGAAAGGAGGGGAGTGGATGTGGACTTGGGGCAGGTGGCCAGTGGTGGGGCTCTGCGGCAGTGTGGCTCACCTTGCTTGGCGGAGTCGGAGAGGCGCTCAAAGCGCTGGCAGCACAGCTGTTGGTGGCTCTCAGCAGGACGTACCTCCCGATTCCTGGTGCGAGCTTTGTCCAATGCCTTGTTGGCATTCTCATAGTCAGCCAGTGCTCGAAGCCGCCGGTACAGCAGATCCTGGGGCCAGTACAGGCACAGGGTCACTGCTGCCCACAGCTACCACCTTGTCCTGATGGGCCACTTGCCTCCAGCCTTCAGGTGCTGTCTCACCTTGGCTGCCTGTGAGTCTCGCATGTAGTACCGCAGCATGTCAGACAGCTTCAAGTCCTCATCTGAGGCCACCCGGCCCTCCAGTTTCTGTTGGGAAAGTGGGCACTAGGGAGGGAGCTTGACGGGCAGCTAAGGCCTGGGGGTCCTCATCTGAATATTCAGCCAAGAATAATTGATGCCCACCCAAGGCCCTGATGGCTGAGGGGAACCGGCACAGGCCAGGAAAGCCTACATGGAGGAGGTGGCATTTGATCTGGCTCTCCGGGCTTGAGCTTGAGTTGGAGCCAGATAGACAAAGGTTTGCAGGTATGCAAGACTGGTCTGGGTGGAGCATAGTGACTCACAGCATAAGCACTGGACTGCAAACTACAAGGTCAGTGGTTTGCGCCCACCTGGGAGAAAGATCAGGCTTTCTGCTCTAACAAAGCTTTGCAGCCTTGGATACCCTATGTTATTAAGTGCCGGTGAGTTGGTTCTGATCTATAGTGACCCTGTATAGGGTTTCCAAGGACCAGCTGGTGAGCTTGAACTGTTAAACTTGTGGGCCAAACTGACTTTGCGGTCTAGCATTAGCCCGCCATGCCACACCAGGACTCCTGGATACCCTATATGTTGTGATGTGCCATGGAGTTGGTTCCAACTCATAGTAACCCTGTACAGAAGATACCCTATATACACGGTTGCTAATTAGCCCAAACCAACTTGAGGGCACTTAACAAGAAGACTTGCTAATCACAAGGTCAGCAGTTCAAGTCCACCAGTCGTTACTTGGAAGAAAGATAAGTCTTTCTGTACTCCACAGCACACAGCCACCACCACCAAGTCTGCTATGTGTTCAGGGTACCAGAAGTTCAGTGTGGGGACTGCTGGGTAAATCAGTGGAGAGAGCCAGTAATCAGACCACAGAGGGCCCACAAAGCACGCTGAGGCCTTTGGGCTTTGGACGGGGAAAGGTCACCACAGAGTATCGGGGAAGAGATACCAGCCAGCAGACATTCTCAAAAGATTGGCATGTGCTACTGTTTTCTTAGAGAAGAGTTCAGGAAGTAGGCATCTGGGGCAGGATGTTGGCAGCAGGGAGCAGCCTGCTTTGAGGCACGTGGCACATCCTTCTGCCAATCAT